AATTAATTAATTAATTAATATATTAAAACCTTTCGAAATTAAAAAAAAATGTTCATACAAATACGAAAGAATTCGATGTGCAAAATTAGTAAATAAAGTTAAATTCTAATTCATGATTTGCACGAAGAGTCAAAGTCATCGCATTTTCCATCAAAATTTTTCAACTCATAATATTCCAAGTCAAACATCTTAAACATAACATAACATTCTAAAAATTAAAAATATCATTATATACATAAATACATATTTATATATATGTATGTATAAAGCATTAACAAGAATTACAAATAAATTAATTTATTCCCTCCCGTAGAAAACGCCAAATTTGCATTATGCATTACTAAAATAAAATGTTTAAAAATAAAAATTAATTAAGTGTGCTTTTGTGCTTTTAAAATTTTACAAATTATCTTAATTATTAAATACAAAATAAAATATTTATATAACATATATTTAAAAAATTTTTAAAACAAAATCAAAATCAAAAAAAAAAATTTCTTCCTAACCCCATCCAAAACCTGCCTCATCGGTGTTTGTGTATGTGACGAAATATTTATTAAAGTATAAAAAATATACTTTACTTAATATAATTTTAATTTATTTATCGTTGTTGTTGTTAAACTCAAGTCTACACGTTCACGTTCGTCTATTGTTCAAAGCTGTACTTAAATTTTAATACTAAAATATTTAAATATTGAATATAAATGTTAAAAACATAGAAGAACCCATTCACACCAAAATGTGTGTCCCTCTATTATTTATAATAAACAACTTAATAAATTTAACCTCTTAAAAAAATTCACATGCAATATAATAAAATTATTTATTATCGTTTATGAATAAAACATAAACATAAAACCTATTTGTTTTTTTCTTAATAAAACAAATTTGATAAAAAAATTTAATTATTAACAATTAATAAAATAAAATCAAAATGGCGGACCGTCCGCCGTTTAGTGACATTAAGCGGCCTGATGAAATAGTCAGAATGACTACAGCCGACAATCTGAAATTTGCGGTACTCATCGGACTCATCGAGGTGGGCCAGGTGACAAATCGGGAAGTCGTCAACACAGTTTTACATTTGGTAAGTCAAAAATGTCCATCTTATTTATTTAAACGAATACTTTTATAAATAATTTTTATAGTTCTAAAATAATATTAACATAATAACACAATAGGACCATAAATATTAAAATCATTAAGAAATTAAAAATATATCTCTGGGATTTTAAATCGATTCTTTAAGTTCAAAAATTAATTTTAATTTTACTGCACAATGGAGCAACGATAGTTGCAGTGCTCCGCTTCAATGGAGCTTAGAGCCGCATTTAAGTCGGGCTCTAAAAAATCGCTGCGTCCACTCAGTGGTTGTATAAATCAGCTTCAGATAATACTAGTTGAATATATATATAAGACTGTGTTTCTCTACTACTTTTGAACTTTGAGAAAATTCTCAGAAGTAATCTCAGAAAGTGTTAAAAATCTCTAACTTGAGATTGAGCTCTGAATGCTGTCTGCCCGGATGAATAAAGTAATGAGATAATCTAAGAAAATTTTGAAAATATCTAAATTGCGCTGGATTTTTTATTAGGCACCCAATCTGAGCCCTGAGTACTGTAGGCCAGAATGAATAAAGTACAGGGATAATCTCAGAAAATGTTAGAAATATCTAAATTGCGCTGGGTTTTTTTTATTAAGCACCTAATCTAAGCCCTGAGTACTGTCTGCCAGGATGAATAAAGTAAAGTGATAATCTCAGAAATGATTAAAAATATCTAAATTGAGCTGGGTTATTTATTATGCACTTTACGCGAACCATGAATACTATCTGTCAGAACAAATAAAGTGTTCACACAGTTCAATAACTTTGTAAATATTCATAAATGAAAGTATCTAATAATTTTTGTTACGCCTTACGAACTTTTTTTTTTTTGATGAAACGACACAAATGTAATTTAAACAAAAATTGTCAACGAAGCAATAAAATCTTCATAGAGAATAAATAAAATATTTCACGTTTCATTAACTTTTTCATGAAATCGAAAGTTTTGTTCTGCACCTTGATTCCGAAATAATAAAAATTTTTATCAATAAAAATCGATAAAATGTTTCGTTGTCTTCTTCACTTCCATATTCAAAATTAGGTTACAAGCACGCGGCGAGGGGGTGCAGAAATTTGGCCTAATATTTGTGTTTACGTAAAAGGTTGTGCCTATCGATGTACGTAGTGCTTTCGGTGCTCCTGAAGTCTCACAAGAACGAAGAAGTATCGAATTTCAATACGAATTGCGCTACCTTTTGCTTTTTCCACCGTAACTCACTTCTCACATTTCTACAGAAGTAGAAATTCTTGAAGAATTTAAATTAAAAAATTCCAATTCTGAAAATACTTGAACGGACAACTTAATTTGGAGTAGCTTCTTCAGCTTTGAGTTTTCAGCTTTTGCGGAGTGCAATAAACCAGTTTCATGCCCAACGAAGCACACGTTTTCACAATACCAACGTCTTGAAAGTGCCTTGTAAAGTGCCTTGGCCGGTCGTCAACGGTGCTCGATTGCTTTACCAAATAAAAATAAAAGTCCTTAAAAAGTTAAGAGGCAATGAGGAAAAAAATATGCAATATATTTTTAAATTCGCATTTCAGAAATACTGCAATTCGGTAGTTTCACTTTCAGTGCAAAGAACAAGTTTGGAACCAGTTTCGAGTTTCGAGTTTCGAGTGGCATATGCCGAAGAATTCATTCCAGCGGTTGTAAACATGCTTTCCGCCAGGCAAAATCAGCGCAGATACATTTTAATGCATTTTCGGTAAATGTGCGTAAACAAAGTCTCTTTGCCATGTTTTTTGGTCATAAAACCAACTTACCAACTTACCAACTTCGGTATGAGAAAAGGCAATTAAGATGTTTTTATGACCCAAAAAGAAATTGATGCAGTAAATTGATTTTTAAACAATTATTCTTTTTTTTAAGTTTGTTCTTAATACCCATAAAAAATGTAAACTCAGTTTACAAACTTTTATGAGATGGAATATATTAAAAATAAATTTTCAATATTATTTACTACAGTAATTAAATCACACACTCAAAATGCTCCATTGCATATAATATGGTCTACGAACTCACTTTACTCTTGCTTGTGAATATCAAGCTTGTGAATGGATTTCGAATATAATGAATGTTTGAATGAAAAATGAATATAATACATAAAATGAGTCCGAACTAGTAGTTGATTGGAATTTTCTCATTGCCAACGTTCTAACTCGCCGACTAGCTCGTCGGCCGAGAACGTTCTAACAACATGGAGGTTTTGTGTATCAAAACTCTTTATAACACAAATAAAAATAAAATACAGTTGTGATATCACGGATGAGACATCGTTCATAATCTAAAACCGAAGAACTACGTTAAATGTAGAAGTCCCAAACATCTTGCGCATGAACGGCGTCCCTCTGATAGGCTTCTCTCTGAACGTCGTTCCTCTGAACGGTGTCTCTCTGAACGTCGTCTCTCTGAAGCATCTCTCTGAAAGGCTTCCCTCTGAACAGTGTCTCTCTGAAAGGCTTCTCTCTGAACGGTGTCTCTCTGAACGACATCTCCCTGAACGGCATAAAATCTTCTCTATTTCAATGGTTCCCCCCCATTGAGGTAGAAAAAAACCAACCTGACAAATCTATGAACTTGGTTATGTTTCTTATTTTTCATATTTTAAAGGCTCTGTTAGGTGAGTTAGGAAAGGGGTAGTAAAAATTTTGAAATTTTTCCTAGCCAATTATGGGCACTGACACATGAGGTGCAGTATAGTTTCCAACCCATCGTGAGAAGGTGTATCAAGTTCTATTATATGATTTTCTAAAAGGCAGCATCGATATCGTAGTATTGAGTTGGTTCCACTATAGTTGAACCTGCTGACTATAATAAGTTTTGTTGAATGTGGACCAAGTGAGTCTTGTGTTCATCAAGAATCTTTATTAACCTGGGTTTGAAGCCTATTGTTCTATTTATAAAGTAATCTAAAAAAGAAATTATTAACAATTTGTATAAAATTTGTATGTATATGAATAACTAAGAAACTACTATAATTGACAAGCTACAAGGGAGTGTAAAGATATCTCAATATCGTGTGGGAAAAGAAAGGAAGAAGAAAAATAAGAACTTCTAAGTATTTTTGGTAACCAAAGTAGTAATTCTACAGACAGAAGAAAGAACCCGTACTATATTTAAGGTGATGACAGTGGGTCTTAGTCTTTCATTTCATCTAAATGCTTTTTCCTCTATTAATATTTTTTTTTCTAAATTTTCGACTTGATTAAATGTTGTTCCAACCTCGTGCAACAGGAAAATTTATTAAATTGCAAAAAATTAAAGTTCGGAAAAATCATTCTGATATTTTTATGATTTTTCTTTGGTACTTTTCCCATCAAAGTTAAGTTGAATTATTTTAATTTTTACCAAAAACTTCTCTGAAGTCATTAGCGGCATCGCCAGTTGTTCATAACTTTCCCAAACAGCTGCCTTCTTTGAAATTCTCTAACATCTCCTCCTCCTCCT